CGCGCTCGCCATCCGGTGCGCGCTCGCATCGCCCCGAGCGAGCGGAGCGCACGGCCACCGGGTCCGCGCGGCCCCGCGAGGATGCCCCGCCGCTGCCTGCCCGCCGCGACCGTCCTGCTGCTGCTGGTCCTCAAGCCCCCGGCTTCCAGCGCAGCCCCACCGAATGGTAACGTGTCCGCCTCTTTCTCTGCCAACCGTCCAAGCCTCGCTTGGACAGCAAGATTCCTCGCGGGACTCTTTACACACTAATTAAAAAGCATTAATTTTAATGAGCAAGGAAGAACATGCATGCGATCAAATAACACGGTTTTTAGAAAGGATGCTTCATCTCCCCCCACCCCCGCCCAGCCCCTTTGGAACACAGGATTTAGTGCTGGCCCGGGAAGCAGGTTGCCTTTCTATTGGTACCTAGTTCAGGTTTGGCGGTAAAATTCCTTCTTGCGTTTTCTAAGCATCCCCCAGCTCAGGAGGGGGGTGACCTCGAACTTGGTGCTCAAAGAGAAAAGGAATCGGGATTTAAACTCTTCTGCCCCAGATCCACGGACAAACGAGAGAAGCAACTAGGATCCTGCTGCCTGGGGGCAGCGGGGGTGGAGGGGTCGGGGTGGGGGTTGCCTTCTCCCCGTGGCAGAAGCTCAGACGGTCCTGGGTGCTTTCCATTGGGGGTAAAACGCCTTTTACCATTAGGTTTACATCAGAGGGCTGGATGATGCAGCTCATCTTTAATCATTGTTTTTCCACAGAAGGGCTCTGCAGCTCTGAACGGACACGTGCTTGGGCATACACCCCCCCCTTATTTCTGAGTGTAATTAGTGCCCTTAACCCCAAGGGCTGGAGGCTGAGGGTGCTGAGCTGGGTGGGAGGAGGGTGTGGGGTGGACCAGAACTGTGGGCTCAGGTTGGGCCATGGAGTTCTGATGAACCACCCAGGTGAGTTCATCTTTGGAAACCAGGGAAGGATGCCAAGCACCTGCCTGGGCTAGCACGCTTGGGGATAGCCTCTGTGGAAACATTCTGAGGAATGGCGGTAGCGCTTCTCCTTGACTAACTGATAAAGCCTAACTGATAAAGGCTTGTGGGGTGCCTACAAGGTCTGGCTTTTGTGAACTGATTCCAGGCTCCAGGTTAAGTTGAAATATTTGTAGAGGAATCAAAAAGTGACTACAGAATGGCTGAGAAATCAATGGTCTCTGGTTGGACATTGGTGGTAGGAGGTTGTCCTGCTCCACAACTTAAAAGCTCCAAGCCTCTTTTTTCTCCGGAGGTTGTTGTGCCTGTGTGGAAGGCAGGGGAGCCCTTGAGATCATCCCTAATTAAATTCAAATCCACTGGAGAATGGAAATAGGAGGAAGGAGTTCCATAAAAATTCAAATTTATTTTTAAGACGGCAAATCATCTCTGCTATAGATCCAAGATGTTCCAAGACCGTGAGAGAGGTACCCCCCCTTTCCTGTTACTCTGGGAGCAGTCCCTTCTCCTTGCTCTTCTACCTAACTTTCCTGTCCTCCCTTCCCTCCTCTGCCCTCAGCCTCCTCCCTCTCCTCTACCCCCTCTTCTCCCTCCTCCGCCTCCCATTTCTCCCTCTTCTTACTTTCTTCCTCCCTCCCCTCTCCTTTCTTTCCACTTTCCCTCCTCTTTTGCTACCCCCTCACTCAGCCCTACAAACTGGGGAAGGGGAAAGCTTCTGGGGCGATTTGGGCGGTGGGCAGGGAAGGCACTTCACCCTACACTGAAGAATGGCCCCCGAGTAGAAGAGCACAGGTTTTATCCCAGGGTTTCTCATGTGAGGTTCTTAGCTTTTTAACTGCCTCCGGGGACACGGTAGACCAAAACCAGCACTGAGATAGAGTGTCTATAACAACCCAAGCTTGAGGGTGGAGAAGTGGAGTCGGAATGTGGTCTGGTGAGTAAATATCTGGGACCCAGGAGGGAGGGAGCATCATAACATGAAATTAGGGGTCTTCTGTAGAAAACCTTGGAATTCTTAGTGGCTGTGGCTGCCTGGCTGTGGAAAGATGAGGCTTTCCGTCTCGGAAACCCACAAGGGCAGTTCACCTCTGCTATGTAGGGCTGCTATGAGTTGGAATTGACTCATTGGCAGTGAGTGAGTGTGTGTGTGTGTGAATGAATTTTAAGAATTCATCAGAGCCTGCCCTGGGGGGCATGACTCATCTTCAGGGTTGGTTCTAGCACCTGGACCAGAAGAAGCACGGGGTCTAGAAGACCACGCTGGCTTGTTCAGAGACACCCACCCATTCCCCTTGAGAGGATTCCAACTCCCATGTAAATTGTTCCAGGAGCAGACAGCCTCACTTTTCTCCCTGAGTGGCTGGTGGGTTTGAACCACCGACCTTGAGGTTAGCAGCCCTGTGCTTTAACCTACTGTGCCACAAGGGCCCCCTGCTCAGAGAAAGGAGGCCAAGAAAGCGACCGATTTTCAGTAACAAATCCCCACTTGTGTCACCACCCAGAGGCCTTACAGCCCAAAATGTTCACTTGATAAGGCTTGTCCTTAAGCTTTAGAGCATTTAAGGCAGAGGTTTTGTCTAGGGTGAGAGCTGTAACAATAAGGAAAACCTTCCCTTTGAAAACTTTGGGGCAGATAGCAAAGGTGAAGGATATTAAGGCTATATGGATTGGTTTGGGGGCAGACCATGGAAACTTTGGAGGCGAGCAGGATGGCTCAGAAGGTAGCAGGACTTTAGCTGGTCCCCAAACCAGCGTCACTGCCATTGAGTCAATTCTGATTCATAACAAGCCTAGAGGCCAGGGTAGGACTGCCCCTGTGAGTTGCTGACGTGTAAATCTTTACGGGAGGAGAAAGTCTCATCTTTCTCCTACGGAGTTGTGGGTGTTTCAAAACTGCTTTCCTTTCGGTCAGCAGCCTGACGTGTAACCATTACACCACCAGGGCTCCTCTGTGTGGCCGGTAGCTACTAGGAAAACAAGAGTGGTTCTCAATTGCCAGGGAAGAGCTGGGGAGGAACCTCCTGTCACTTGTGAGAGTTTACATCCTGGGTCTCTAAAGACTGTGCTAGTGAAGCGGTAATAATCCAGCCTCACCTGTGTCTGAAAGCCCCCACGGTGCTTCAGTAGGAACCAACGTCTCAAAGGAAAATGCTGGAGAGATGTTGAGAGAAGAGATTTGGCATTTGGGGAGCAGAGCACTTTCTTTGTCCCCATTCTCTATTATTTGAGTAAAAGGGCTGGTGGTCAAATTCGGGGGGAGGGGAGCGGGTGGTCACACAAAAGTACATATCTCCATGGTTCTGAATATCTTTATCCAATGGATATTGTAGGGAAAGTTCATGATGGGACCACTGTGGTATTTCAGGCTATCTGAGGACCTTCTGAAATTAACTGTACATTAGATTTTTTGTTTGTTTGTTTGTTGTGTTTTTTAATGTGTGTCTGTGTGTGTGTAGGCTTATGGGCATTCTTATGGGTGAAAGGTCCATAGACCTCATCGGGTACTCCAAGGGAGTATCTCCCTGCCAAAGACTTAAAAGGAGGAGTAGAAAGAACTGCCCTGGGTACGTGGGGAGTAATGGTGGATGTGCAGAGATTCTGTGCTGACCTTAAGTAGTCACATGATCTCAGTGCTTTGCCGCTGAGCAGTCCCTGACCTCAGTGTCCGGCACTGTACCTCAGTGGACTGCCATTTCCTCACCTGTAAAATTAAGTGATGGTGTGTGTGAAATGGGCCTACATCCTCCTCTTCCAGGATGGAATGTTTAGGCCAAAGCCTAAACTTTGCTTTAGGAGGAGCAATATGAGCAGGTTTTATAGGGCGGTGACGATAATACGAAAAGACTAATTTTCAAAGAGTTGAAGTGGTTGTCCTAGGGAGTGAGATTGTAGGTAGATAGTGTCAGGGGACCAGTGGGGTTTTCTTATGTGTATGTTCTCATAGAAAGTATTGTAAAGTCATCTAACTCTTTAAATCACATGCTGATATCACTTTGATTAAAAAAGCGAATTTGGAAATAAAAACAAAATAAGTAAAGACAAGGAGGCAGAGAAATGAAACGAAGCGTAAGAGCAGAGTGCGGTCGTTGTTGGGTGCCGCAGACTGGCTCTGACTTACAGTGACCCCATGTGACCCTTCAGGATTCCTTGGTGGTCATCTTTAAAAAAAAAAAGAAAAAAGGAAAGGGTCTTTTTGTTTCATTAAATACATTTTTGAAATTGTGAATTAGGTAGGGGGGAGTGTTTACATATCACACCATCAACTCTGGACTCAGTAGTTCTGGAGAGATAGGCAACATCTATTGCATTCCTGCCTCCTCTGGAATTCTAACTGGGAAGAGGATGGAAACTTCCTCTTAGAAACGCTTTCCTTTGGAGATTAGCTGTGTCCTTTTTGTGGACTGGTCTTCAGGCTCTGTTGTCTAGTGGGAACAAACTAGGATACAACGCAGTGTGTTCAGCATGCTAACGTTTGTGTGGAAGAGCGGAAGGGTACTGATGTGTCTGCAGTTATGCAGCGAGCGAAAGGGTTCACCAGAAACCGAGCAGATGAGTCGTCTCTGCTAGCACACGGGATGCGGGTTGCGACGGAGCTTTCACTGTTTGCCCCTTGGAAGCTTCAGAGTTTTGAGCCTGTGAATTTATGCAGTTAATAACGCCGGACTTCTTAAAATGCCCGTGGGACTTCTATTCAAGAAGCGCCCTCCCTAATCCATCAGCCCCTGAGTGAACACCACACCCTCCCTAACCTATCGACTTCCGTGTGCACACCACCCGCCCTCCCTAACCCGTGGGCTTTTGCTTGCACAGCACCATCTCACCTAACCCAGCAGTCCTCTCCGCGCCTCCTTTTGAAATCCAGTTGCTCCAAGAAACAGTTAGGTTGACATCCTCTCAGAAAAAGGTTTTGAAATTTCCCGGTGGCTGCCTCCTTTTCAATCTCACTCCTCTCAAAAACGAAAGTAGTAATGTTTCCTCAAACTGAAGTTCAAATCCATTGGTCCTAACTTGCTTTGTTTTTGGTCTTTGCAGGATCCAAGTGGACCTATGCTGGTAAGTAGAGATTTTCCATACTTTTTGAGGGGATGGCTATGCTTAGAGTGAGACCCAGAAACTTTTCATGTTCTGTAGATGTTTTGGGGGGTGCCGGGAGAGGGGGCCGGGGTGGAATAGAGTGCTCTTGCACCGTTAGAAGAGGGTTGGCCGACTGCCCTATGCCCTAAAAGAATGGTTCTTTGCCGGGCCTAGCTTTTTCGGAGGCTCGGGTTGCAAACAACACTTTGTCCGAGTAACTGAGCCTGTCCTGTGCCCACCAACTCGTGAGTCTCAGTGTTCAGGCTTCCAGAGTCCTGAAAGAATTTCCAGTATCTGCCTGATGAAGATGCCCAGGTACCCTCAGGTACCCTTGAGCAGGCAGGGCCTCTCCCTTTATCCTGCAATGAACAAAGAATGAAGAGCTGAACGGTTAGCTCAGACGGCAGATCTTAAGCCGTCCGTGTGTCTAGATGGAACTTACTGTTGCCATGTTTGCGAGCACTTGGTGGATTGTGGCGATGACCCATCCTTCCCTTTCATGGAGAGTGAGGAGCAACAAGATGGTAATGGGGTTTCTGCAGGACTGGATCAAAAATGGATGATGGTCACCAGCTCAGGTTTGGCCAGGCCTGCAAGAAAACAGCTGAACATGGCTTGGCTGGCATGTTGTAACACACTGGAAAGTTGGTCACTAGCACAAGTAGGAACGTAGGCCAAGAGCCTGAGGCCTTTGGCAAGTTCCAGAATGTTGATAGCCGTCTTTTAAAGAGCGGGGCCAGGGTAGGTTAGGATGAGGGGCTTCGTTGTTCTGGAACATGACGGCAAGCTGGTGCACTGCAGAAGGGAAAGCCTCCACGGGCAACAGCCGTGGCGTGGTGCCCAGCAGGGCAGTTGGTTGCTACAGTGGAAGCAGAGGCTACAGAAGGATCCGACCGAGCCTTGACAGAGCTAGATTTCGGATGCCACGAGCTCAGAAGGCATAGAATGTCAGGGACTAACCAACTAGCAACGTAGAGGCCAGGAGGCCAAGGTTCCCGAGAGCTAGCGTTGCTGCCTTCCATCCTTACTAATACCCCTGTGCACATGTGTGTGCAAGGGTCCCTTAGTGGGTGGGTAATTTGAAGGGTAGACTACAGCTTGTAGCTGGGAGCTATTTAAAGTACATGAAGCAAAGCATAATATCATAGGTAATAACGAAGAGAATAAATAAATGGTCCTGATTCCCTTATCAAGGTGCTCTGATCATTCAGAGGAGGGTGAGCACACTAGGGCTGGATGGTCAAGGAAGACTTTCTGGAGAAAAAGGTGTTTTACTTGGGTCTTGAGAGATGGGGAGGACTCGGTAAGGCAGGAGGAAGGGTGTTTGCAGGGAGGAAGTGTGGGAATGCATCCCACGAGCAGCAAGACGGTGTTTGAGGGAAAATACATGGGGTCATTTTAGGGGGAAATAATGGTTGTTTTATAGGGGAGAATAATGGCCGGTAGAAATGGTTACGTGCTCAACTAGTAATTGCAAAAGGCTGAGATTCAAACTCACTCATTGGCCTGCTGAGGAAAGGCCTAGAGAAATGCTTTGAAAGGTCTTAGCCTGAAAGCTTCTGTGGCAAGTGGTTTTTAGTCCTGGTAATGGGCTCAAAAAGAAGCCCTGGTGGCACTGTGGGATAAGACTTGGGTTGCTAACAGCAAGGTCGGTGGTTCAAACCCCGCTGCTCTTGAGGAGAAAGCTGAGGCTGTCTGCTCCCACAAAGATGTACAATTTCAGAAACCACATATAGGGTTGCTGCACTTCTTTCCACTTGGGGTCTCAACTCTACAGCAGTGGGTATTTTAATGGGCTCCAAGGTCCATAGGTTGGATCAAACAGGAGAGGCAAGAAGGGGGCAGCCACCATTTTTAGACCACTGTGCCTTACACAATTGATGTACGGATGGATTGTGATAAGAGTTGTATGAGCCCCTAATAAAATGATTAAAAAATAAAAAGAAAAGAAAAATTTCAGTAAACATACCAAAAAAAAAAAAAGAAGTGGGCAGCCACATGGGAGGGATGATAAATCCAGGGTGCAGTCTGACACTGATGAGCCACATAACGGTCCTCTAGTTCTTCAATATTCCCTCTTCTTACTAAGCTTATTATGGGCTTTTTTTGTTTTACCTATTAATCACGTTAGGTTTGCATATTGTCACTTGTATATTTAAGAATGCTTAGTACTTGAAAGTCAAGATAGATAACCCTTCAGCAATAGTAACAGAAGTAATGGTTCCCTGAGGGTATGGGAAGAAAAAGAGGGAACAGGTATCTGATAGCATTGATGACTGTATAAACCCTTCGATGGGATCAAACAACAGAATTGTATGTGGAGGGATATATTGGATTGTGTAAGATATTGGGGGGGGGCTATTATAGAAAAAAAGAAAAAGGGTTCCTGGGGGATACAGTGCGGGAGGGAAGAGACAAAGGGGAGCCGATATCCAGGAGTTCAAGAAGAAAGAAAATGTTTTGAAACTGTGGTAGCAATTGTACAATACTGCTTGATATGATTGAACTATGGAATGCCATGCTATCTATAAGGGCTCCCAATAAAATTAAAACAAAAAGAAGAAGAAGAAGGGACCAGCTAGGGAGTACATCTGTGCTTTAGGTATAATAAAGACCCTTGGTGGCACAGAAATGTGGGTGGTTTGAACCCACTAGCCCTTAGGAGAGAAAGAGATGGGAGTTTACTTCCGTACACTAAAAATTAAAGAAAACCGACTGTTGTCAAATTGATTTCTACTCATAGACAAAGTAGAAGAACTACCTTACAGTGTTTCCAAAACTGTAAATCTTTTTTTATTAAATCATTTTATTGGGGGCTCATACAACTCATCACAATCCATCCATCCATCCATTGTGGAAAGCACATGTGTATATTTGTTGCCATCATCACTCTCAAAACATTTGCTCTCCACTTAATCCCCCGGCATTAGGTCCTCATTTTTTTCCCCTTCCTACCCACTCCCCCATCCCTCATGAAACCTTGATTATTTATAAATTATTATTTTGTTGTATCTTACACTGTCTGATATCTCCCTTCACCCACTTTTCTGTTGTCTGTCCTCCAGGGTGGAGGTCACATGTAGCTCCTTGTCATCAGTTCCCCCTTTCGACCCCACCCTCCCTCCACCCTCCTGGTATCGCCACTCTCACCACTGGTCCTGAAGGGATCATCCGCCCTGGATTCCCCGTGTTTCCAGTTCCTATCTGTAGCAGTGTACATCTTCTGGTCTAGCCAGATTTGTAAGGTAGAATTGGGATCATGATAGTGGAGGGGAAGAAGCATTTAGGATACAGAGGAAAGTTGTATGTTTCATCGTTGCTACACTACACCCTGACTGGCTCATCTCCTCCCCACGGCCCTTCTAAGGGGATGTCCAGTTGCCTGCAGATGGGTCTTGGGTCCTCTGCACTCCCCCTCATTCACAATGATATGATTTTTTGTTCTTTAATGCCTGGTACCTGATCCCTTCGACACCTTGTGATCACACAGGCTGGCGTGCTTCTTCCATATGGGCTTTGTTGCTTCTGAGCTAGATGGCTGCTTGTTTAGCTTCAAGTCTTTAAGACTCCAGATGCTGTATCTTTTGATAGCCGGGCACCATCCCAAAGCTGTAAATCTTTCTCTTATGGAGAGGCTGATGGGCTTGAACCACTCATCATCAGCGAAGCACTTAAACACTGAGCACCTGGTTGCCCCATACAGATTCCAGTCTTGGAAACCCTAGGGGGCAGTTCTGCTCTGCCCTGTAGGGATGTTGTGAGTTCAAATGGACTGGATTACCGTGGGTGAAACACTGTGATAACAGATAGAGAGTGAGGGATGGGAAGGTGGTAGGGAGCTGAAACACCATTTCATATCTTAATGTCTAACTTACAATGAAGGAAGTCATAGGACAAGAGAGAGAAGGTCAAGAGACTGGGTAAAGGGAGAAGGGCAGAGTCCTGGGCCACAGGGTGGGTCCCTTGGGTCAGCTCCATGCCTGGGAGGGGACAGGCGCTGTGCAGGTAGGGAACAAGGCTGGTCTCAGTTGGGGCTCTTCTGTACCATCTTGAGCCCATCTTTGGGGTCTTTCGTTCTGGCTTGTTGGCTGTTGTTGTTCAGTGCTGTTGAGTTAGTTCTGCTCAACGGAACAAAACACTGCCTGAGCCCTCCCCCCAATGATTCTTAGGTCTGAGCCCATTGTTGCAGCCACGGAGTCGATCTATCTCCTTGAGGGTCATCTGCTTTACCAAGTATGAGTTCCTTTCCCAAGGACTGGCCTCTCCTGACAACATGTCCAAAGTACATGAGACAAAGTCTCACCATCCTTGCTTCTAAGGAGCATTCTGGGGGTACGTCTTCCACGACGGATTTGGCTTTTCTTTTGGCTTGGGGTCTCCTCTATCAGAAGACTAGAAAGAAGAGACCTTTCCCACATCCCCTGAGCATTATGGAATGCCCCTCCCACCAACAAATATTTCTGGGCCTGATGAGAACAGAACGTGGAAAAGCTGTATCTTTGACCCATTCCTCCAGTGAGATCCTCTCTCCATCCTGTTAGAGAACCACTAGGCGGTCCTCCAGAATCTTCTAGCCTGAGAGTCACAGGTAGCTTGCTCTGTCTCTTTTGCTGGCCTCCCACGAAACACGAATTAAGTCTCTCCCTGCCTCTTGTTAAAACACCCCTGCGCAGAGTGAGATGGTGCTGGAGAAGAGGGAAGACGGCTGTGTGGAGGTGCGGGAGGGAATACTGACTGCCACATAGCCGTGGCCTGGGGCTCCCCATGGGAGGCCTCCGCTGTTGAACCATGTCCACCCATCTGTCCAGAAGCCCTTCTTCCCGGCCACTGGCTCTGACTTGCCTTCTGGCCCCCATGCCCTCCTGCCCGGCACAGGTAGAGCAGCACTTTGCTGAGGAAGCTCAGGGCAGAGGTGAATGATGCATGGGGTAAGCACAAAGGCACAGTTATCTGTTTATTGCCGAAATGAGCACGTGTGA